AGCACCTGGTTCAAACTCAAATCCTCCCCTCCCTGGTGTGGATTGGAGCTGGGTGCATGCCGTGTTTATTGTGAATACAGAAAGAATCAGAGGAAGCAATCAGTAAAAGCTATAACTTTCCATTCACTCACTCACTCATTCACACACACTCAAGTTCTGCAAGGTTGTTATTATACTTACCAGCCTAGGAGTTGCTCGGGCCAAGTCACTGGCGAGGCGGCCTGGACACGAGGATGGAGCCGGGCCTTGTCAGATGTGCATCCGACGCTCCTTGAAGTTGGTTGCAGAAACAGACCCAAAGTCCTCAGTCTTTAGGGTCTGTCTTTATAGGGATCCATCCTCATACAAGTCTACGGGGTTTACCTCGTCATGCTGTTCTCACGTTTGAAGTGATAGCCAATCACGCAGAGGGTACAGCAATGACGGTCCTCTTCGGTTCTTCGGCCCCCTCGTCCTTGGGGCGGTTGGGGTGGATTCTGGTGTGTCCTCAGGCTTATCGCCCAGCGCATTCTTCGGCCACACGGTCCTGTCGTTTATTATGATTCTTCGGCCTCAACCTTTTATTACTCATCCAAACAGACAACCCCAATCACACACTCTATTTCACATAACATATTTCCTATCACATCTGCATTTTATTACCAAGTCCTTTAACAAAACCATTCTGAAATCACTGGGGCACGACAGGCTCCAATAGACCTATTCATACCACGTGTTACCTGTGACAAGAAAACAAGCAGGATAAAAACACAAGAGTGGGGCTCACCAGATCCCATTCCTGAGTTCAGGAAAACAGTTGTAACAGCAGCTGTCCTTAATGATAATCTTATCACTTTAGAACAGGATGTTTCGGGATGTGCTTCTACAATTAACATAGACCTTGTAAACTGACAGGCATAATTCGATTAGCACGGACTCAGCAAGCTGGGAGGCATATTTCTTTCTAATGGTCAGGCCAAATCTGGGGTCTGTTCTGGGCCAATCTTTCTCACACTCTCCCATAACATAAATGTATTAATTATTACTTTCATCCAACAATGACAGTATCCCCGCCCGCCTGGCCAGGGGAAGCACAGAACTGGACCGAGTCGTATCAGGGTGGGATCAGGTAGACTGGTTCTCTCTGGGCTGGAACAGAGCTGCAGCCACCTCTGGGGCAGGGCAGCCAGGGAACACCCGCATGGTGACACCGCATGGGGATGGCTCGCCCGGCGCTGAGATGCAGCCACTGCTGGAGTGGACACTCTAGGCTCCCTTTGACCACGCCTGAGACAAGCTGGTCAGGTGAGTGGGTTGCAGGGTGGGAGGTTATCTCGGCATCCCACGTTCTCCCTTGGAGGACTGGGTGGAGCGCAAACTGGCTGCTTCAAAAGGGTCTGATTTCATGTGGGGGAGCGGTCCCTGCTCCTTTTGGTTGGTTCCCCCTTGCCCCAGTACAGCCCCGGAACCCAGCACTCAGATGGGAGCCGAGCCCCCTGCACTGGGGGACACAAAGACCTTCATGTCCTTAACCTGGAGCTAGGGGCTGGTGCTTGGGGCTGGAGTGATTCCAGGCGAGGCCTTGAGATGCAGTGAGCTGCTCAGGGGAGTCTGGATACAAGGACCAGCAATGCCACAGGACAATACACCTCAAGATAAACCTCCCTCCCAGCATGGGGGCCATGGCCCAAGGTATGCAAAAGGCTCTGGCAGCAGCTGCTTAGCCTGGGGCCAACACCTGCCATTTCCCACCTAGAGTGGGATAGAACCCAGGAGTCCTGGCTCCCATCCCCCTGCTCTAACCCACCCAATCCCATTCTCCCATCGTCCCCCATTCCATTTTGATCAGGTCCCACCTCCACGTGCAAATACTAAAGGGTTAAGCAGCTGCAGATCCCTGTGGCATACAGGGCTGCTTCCCCATTTATTCAACTAATCCCAGCTGGGATCCTCCTTCCTGGGGAGGGAAGAGCCTCTGGCCCAGGGCCTGGCCCATCTCCCAGCATCTACAAGAGGAGGTGTGGGAGGGGCACAGGTGGCTGTAAGCACTAAACCCCACTCCCTTGCCAGAGCTGGGGATAGAACCCAGGAGTCCTGGCATCCAGCCCCAGTCCCCCCCCCCCCCCCGATTTTAACCACTAGACCCCACTCCTGCCTGGAGCCTGGTGTTCCCCAAGCACATGGGACTGAGGGTATAAAACAGAACACAGGGGCCCCATGCTGGGCCTTTCTCCTGCCCCCACCTTATCATGAAGTGTGGGGGAGTCTGGGGCCTGCACCCCTCTTCCTGGGATTCACTGTGACTCTCAGCCAGCCAGTAAAACGGAAGGTTTATTGGACAATAGGAACACAGTCTAAAACAGAGCTTGTGGGTACAACCAGGACCCCTCAGTCAAGTCCTTCCGGGGGGCAGGGAGCTCAGACCCTCGCCCTGGGGTTCCCTGCATTCCATCACCCAGCACCAAACTGAAACCAAAAAACCCCCCAGCAGGCTCTCTCCTGCAGCCTTTGTCCAGTTTCCCGGGCAGAGGTGTCACCCCCCCCTCCCCCTCCCAGCTCAGGTGACAGGCTCTCAGGTCTCCCATCCCCAGTGAACCTCCCCTGCCACATTCCCAGGTCAACACTCCCCCCTCCCTGCTGCGTCACACAGCTACACTGCAATCAACCAAGACACTCAGAAGAAGACTGAAGACTCCAACAGAGGAGACTGGCCCAGGTTTCAAGGGTCAAACCTGTGTACTATGAATTTCAATATCCAGTGAGGAAAGAAAAACTGCTTAATCTAGATGTTGCCCAGTCTAATAGGGTTGAGCGTTTAGACTGCGTGCTTACAGAATCATAGAACTGGAAGGGACCTCCGGAGGCCATCTAGTCCAGTCCCCTGCACTTATATTTTCTTTTCTTTCGGTAACTAACTCTGCCTTTTTGCCTATCACTTAATATCACTTAAAATCTCTCTTTTGTTGTCAATAAACTTCTTTAACTGTATATCTTTACCAGTGAGTTTGTATTCAGTGTGTGAAAAATCTGCTCAGGTTTGCAAAGGCTGATGTATAGCCACTTTCCACTGATGAAATGGTGAACCAACTAATAAATCTGCATTACTCGTCTTGAGCAGTGTAAGACAGCATATTCCTGAGGTGCAAGGCTGGAAGCTGGGGGAATTTGGCCTTTCATGGCAGGTGCCTTTCCCTGTGAGATTCATAAGTGGCTCTGGGAGCTTTCAGGCAAGCGAGCTGGGTATGGGGTCTCCCCATGCGGTTGTGCTGAGTGATCACAGCACCCAGAAAGTTTTGCTACTTGTCACGAGCAAGGCACAGTGAGAGACAGCTCAGGCCGGAGAGAGTTTAGGGGGTACAGTGGTCCCCCAGTCCCAGGCTGCAGCCCAGGGATCCCTGCATCACAGGGTTCTGGGCCAAGACTGGGGTCCTAGGCACTCCTGGAATACACCTAATAAATAATGTACAGCACCTAGCACGAGGGGGTCCTGGGCCAAGACTGGGGTCCTCAGCACTCCTGGAATACACCGAACAAGCAGCACTAATGATGTGCAGTGCCTGTGTCTGGGGCGCCTGGGGGCTGTGGCTGTGCAAAAAATAAATGACACTCACGAACGATGCCATTGGCACACGAGGAACTGGGGGTAACAGGGCCAGGGATCAGTGGATGCTGGAAGGTTTCCCCTTGTCAGAGGAGGGAAGGCCTGGAACAACCTACCTCCTAGTCGGTGTCAGGGGCAAAGACCCTCACTAGTCCAAGGGCGGGAGGCACGGGGGGGGTGGGGGGGGTTCGTTCCTGCTGCTCCCTGCTGGATGGGGTCATGTTCAGGGGCGGCGAGTTATATCTCCACGTGGTGCCTTAGCACCTGCAACATTCAGAGCCCCGAAACCCAGCTCCACCAATATTTGGGGCAGGGTGTCCCCCCCCCCGGCCCCACCTGCCACCCCGAGTGTCCCCCGGCCCCCTCTTGCTGCCTTCCCTGCCCCTGCGCCTCTGCCCTGCAGCTCCATGCTGCCGTGGGGTCCTAGTGCCCCCAGCTCGACTGCCGGGGCAGACTGACTGAGCCTGCCCTTCCACCTCAGACCCTTCCCTCTTCCGGCGGGACCCTCCACCAGCACAGGGCCCCTGCCCACAGCCACCGCTCCTGCCCCATGCTGGGCAAGGGGCAGCCCCACCCCTCACCCCCAGTGAGGCTACAGTCAGGGGCAACAGTGGGGAGGAGATCACTCGCAGCACCCCCCGGCTCCCACCATGGGGGAGGCAAGGGAGATTCCTGGACCTGAGAGGACCCTAGGAGCACATGCAGTGACAGTGGTGGGGGTGAGTGTGCTGCTGGGGGGCGTGAAAGGGGGCTCCTCCCCCAGAGCTCACTGCTGCCGGCAGGGAAAGGGCTGGGGGATGTCCTCCTCTCTGGCCCCTGTCCCACAGCAGCCTGCCTGCACTCCAAACTCATCCCCAGCCCTGCCCCACCCCAGAGCCCACACCCCCAGCCAGAGCCCTCATCCCCCTGCACCCCAACCCTCTGCCCCAGCCCTGAGCCCCCTTCAGCACCACAAACCCCTCATCTCCAGTCCCAGCCAAAGCCCTCATCCCACCACACCCCAACCCTCTGCCCCAGCCATGAGCCTCTCTAACCCCCAAGCTCCCCAGTCTCACACACAGAGTCCTCACCTCCTACACCTCTACTCTTGCCCTGAGCCCCTCCCACACCCCAAACCCCTCATCTGCAGCCACACCCCACAGCCCTCACCCTGCACCCCGTCCCTCCGCACCCCTTCCCATCCCCAAACTCCTTCCCAGAGCCTGCACCCTGCACCCTAATCCCCTGCCCCAGCCTAGGGCCTGCACCCCAGACCTCCTCCCCCACCCAAACACCCTCCCAGAGCCTTGGGCAGGAGTTTGGGCAGGGGCAGGTTCTGGGCACCACCAAAATTTCTACAAACCTGCCACCCCATGTCATGATCTGTTCATGGCAAACCCAGAGAACTTAGATTAGAAAACCAAATCCACTTGCTGGAAAGTTGCCACGTCACCTGGTTTTATTTCTTAGAATCCAGAGGCCTGACGCACAGGAACCCAAACTAGAGAGAGACAGAGCAGGCTGCTCCTTGACGCACCGAGGCTCAACTCCCATGCCATGCTCTCTTTAAATACACCTCAGATGAGCCCTGCCGTGTGCGCACTGGCCTCTGCTGGACACAGGCCCAGCCGGCTCTGCCTATTGCAGATGCACTAATGACGCTGCCCCAGGGGGCATCTCCCAGGGCACACTAAGCACAGCAGCACGTGGGTGGCGCGGGGCTGGTGTCTTGCGGGCACAGACGTGGCGGGCGCAGGGCCGTCAGTCCCAGGGGAAGGTCATGGCCAGACCCTGCATCCGCTCCCGGTAAACGGTGTCGAATCGTTGGCTCTGCGCCTCCGAGAGATGGTTCCTCCAGTCGCCGCAGATCCCTGCAAACCACAGGGACATGGTCTAGGGTGCCCCTCACTCCCAACCCACAGCCCCGGGTCTCCCAGCCCTGCCTCATTCAGCTCTGCCAGTGCCCCTTAATCCTGGCCCGCAGCCCCCACCCTGGACTCACCTTTCCTCAAGAACTCCCCCTTCTGGTGGTCCATGTACTGGTCCTCCACCTGGGAGAAGTTGGACATTTTGTTCCCCTTCATGCTCTGGAAGGAGGCGTTCTCCACCACAGCGGCCACTTGCTCCTCACTCAGCTCCTTCCCCAGGAAGTGGCAGATTCTCCGCACGCTGCCCAATGGATCCTGGGGGAGGCACCCACTTTCATGAAGGGTGGGATCTGGGGTGACTGTATTATGGTCCATGGATGCCTCAGTTCCCCAGCTGGAAGGTACTGCTCCCCATTGGGTCCAGACAAACAGACACCTCTGAGGGCAGAGGGCCTTGGCCACAAGCCATGTCGGCTGCCTGGAGCGTGGTCAAGTGTGGGTTTGGCTCACAGGGAGATAGGCTACATGTTGGCATGGCGCAGGGGCGGGATTATATGTGGGCATAGCCACAGGGAGGGTCTACATGTGGGCATGGCCTCAGGGACAGGGTTAAGTGCAGGCATGTCCACAGGCGTTGGTGTTATGTGAGGATGAGACCTTAGGTCGGGGCTATGTGTGGGTGCCACCAGGGGGCGGAGTTATGTGTGGGCGTGGCCCAAAGGGCGGGGTTTCCCTACCTGCTGCAGCTCCTCGTAGGTGATGGGGAAGAAGTTCTCGTTCCCCTTCAGCCCCATCCAGCCGGTGACGTGGTCGAACCAGGAGCCATAGGCCACTGTGCAGGGGACAGCGGCATGGTGACCCCAGAGCCGGCTCCACCCGGCCCCTCCACCCTGCTCTGCCAGGGACAGCAGGGGCCTGGGAGCTGGGACACCCGGGTTCCATCCTGGCACTGGGAGGAGAGTGGGGGCTGGAGGTCAGCGGTGTTTGCAGACCCCTGCTTGTGCTGTGGCTGTTTGGGGAGGGGGGCTCTGAGCTGTGCCGGGCCCTGGGCAAAGGGCTGGTCAGAGCTGGCTGGGGATGCACAAACTCGAAGCACTTGTGACTTGCTTGGAACCCAGGCGTCCGGCTCCAGAGTGGCCCCTGCGGGCCCGGGGTGCTGCTCACCATTCCCGCTCAGGAAGTCCTCGAGGAAGGAGTCCAGTGAGCCAGGGTCCTTGAACAGGCGCAGCAGCTTGGAGAAGTGGTAGAGCGAGACCAGGACGTCCTTGGGGCAGCGCAGGGTGTAGATGATCTGGGGAGAGGTGGGGAGGGGGGTCACTGCTGGGGCGTCATGCTACCAATTGGGGGAGGCGGGTGCCAAGTGAACACAGTGATTAGCCACCCACCCTGCGCCATCACTTCCCCACCCTCTCCGGAGGGAGAAAGAATCGCCCCATCCCGCTGGCTGCACTTTCACACGACCACATTGGTGTAACTCACACCCAGCAGCAGCCCTGATTTCACCCCCCTCCCGACGCACAGCCCTGTCGGTGCCCCTCAAATCTGACCCGCAGCCCCCGCTCTCCCACCACTCACTTTGGCCTTGGAGCGCTGCAGGGACTTGGGGAAGAGCTGCACGGGGAGATGGGAGCAAAGCAGCCGGGGTGGGGGGTATTTCAGGGCAGCCTTCAGCCCATTCTGATTGTCCACCCAGGGCGACCGCTCCCAGTTCAGCACGCTGCGCACCCAGCCGGGGTCCCCGTCACAATGGATCAGACTCAGAATCTCCAGCATCCAGTTAGTGCCTGGGGGTGAAAGGGTTAATGGGCCTGAAATAATTCCTCGACTCACTGGGTCCCTCTCCGCTCCCAGAGCTGGGGAGAGAACCCAGGAAGTCCTGGCTCCCAGATCTTCTGCTTTAACCTACCAGCCTCTCTTTCCCAGATCTGGGGATCGGTTCCAGGAGTCTGGTTCCCAGCCCCCACACCACATTCACGGAGGTGAATTGACAGTGCTAAAATCCAAAGGTCTTGTTTTCCTGTGTCAGGGTCTCCTGGCCCTGCTGACGGCTCTGGAGAAAGCCTGTGATCAGAGTGCGTCTGCAGAGAGCCAGCCTAGCACCAGGTGGGCGAGTTGGGCCCCAGGGAGCAGCCTGCTTTCTCTCGCTGGGGGTATGGGAGCCCGGGCTCTGACATCTAGGAAAGCAGGTCATATGATGTTGCAACCTTCCTGCTACTGGGTTTGGTGTTTCCATCTAATGTCCTTGTGCGTGTCAGGAATGCCCCCCCCCCCCACCCACCCACCCACCACACACACTTCGCTTTGCCCCCGCTCTCCTCTACCTGACTTGGGGTAGGTGACATTGAAGATGTCATCGTCCCGCACCTGGAATTCATTCTCCACGTAGCTCAGCGCCTCGGGGGAGTAATTCAGACATGGGAACAGCAACCCCTTGTGGGTGAAGTATTCACGTGCCATGGCAAGGCTGGGAAAGAGACAGACCTCCCAGCATCGGTGCTGGCCCCTGTGTGATACTTGGGGACATCGTGCTGCAAGGGTTCAGTAGGGGGAGCTGTCGTGCAGGGAGCGGGGCAGGGGCTCAGTAGGGGGCACCGTGCTGCAGGGAACGGGGTGAAGCTGTTACTTGGCTGTCCCATCCCAGAGCCAGCTGCATTTCAGCAACGATTGAGCCGATTCCGTGGCTTGTTCCCGGAATGACTGTAGGGCCCTTGCTGGTGGCTGTGGCTGGGACAACAGCCCGTGCTTGGGGTGGGAGCCCTCTGTGGGGTTCTGCAACAGGCCCAGGCTCTCTGCTCTCCCCCTAGCTACCTTCGGGCCTGGGCAGAGCCAGTGCCATTCAACCTTTGGAGGCCCTGCCGGGTGCTCCCTGCCCGGCACAGTGACATTTGGACCTGAGCTGAGCTGGCACCTTTAATCCCCCAGGGCACTGTGCCCCTGCCCAGCTGTGTCAGGTGCCCGGGTCCTGGTGTGAGAGTGGAGGGGGCAGGCGTGTGGCAGATCCTGTCATTCCCCCCCCCGGAGGGGTCGCTTCCATGGCAGCAGGTCATCAGCCTCGGGGGTGGGGGAACCATCCAGCCCGAGTCACCCCCCTTCCCTGCTCCACATCAACCCCTCCATGGGGAGCTGGGAGTTCAGGCTCCATGGCCCATTCAGCAGCTCCACGAGGGCGGCCAACAGGGGGCGCCGATTAGTGCCCGTTGTGGGTTTGGGTTTGCAGATGTCTCCACCCCAGGGATACAGCTAATCCCTGCCCTGCCTCTGCCTGACCCAGCCAGCCCTGCCCTGGGGCCGGATCAGAGCTGGCACCCTGCGGGGGAAAGGCCCCGTGTCCCATCAAGCCAGCCAGGCCCTGCCCTGGGGCCAGATCAGAGCTGGGCGCCCTGGAGGGGAACACACCCGTGGGCTCTCAGGCAGGGAGAGGGTCAGGCTGCAGACATGGGCCCCTGGGCACCGTCCCTGAGCTGTGTGTGTGCGGGGTGGGATGGGGGTATTTAAGAAGGGCCCTGCTGGGTCAGCCCAGGGTCTATTTAGCCTGGGATCCTGTCTGACAATGTCCCGCCCCCCACCCCGGGATTCAGTTATGGGTGATCCTGCCGGTTTCTGGTGGTGAGAGGTTTAGGGACTCCCGGCACGTGGGGCTGCGTCCTGCCCATCCTGGCTAGTGGCCAGCGAAGGTCCCATCCTTCAGGTGCTCACCTCATGCTCCGTTGAACCCGTTACCACACGCCCGGCCAGTGAGGGGCCCAGCTTCCAGTGTGCTGGTTGAAGGGGGGATTCCTTTGCTCTTTCTTTGTTGGGCAACCCCTAGTCTTTGTGTTACTTGTCCCTAGTCACCTTCTCCACCCCAGGCAGGATTCATAGACCTCTGTCATCCCCCCACAGCCGTCTCTTCTCCCAGCTGAACAGTCCCGGGCTAGAATCTCCCCTCCCACGGATGCTCTGCCATCCCTCTCGGCACTTTTGTTCCCCTTTTCTGCACCTTTTGCAAACCCCTGTATCCTTTCTGAGACGGGGCGTACCCGGGCTTCATAGAGCCAAATTATGCTATTTGCTGTCTTAGTTTCTAGCCCTTTCATTCTGCAGTCAGTAGTGCTGCTATTTCCGAGCTGAGCTCCTTCCCAGCTCTTGGGGGGAGCCCTCTGGGCTGGGGTGAGGGTGCTGTTCAATTTTTCAGTTTGCTCCAACCCTCCACCCTGGGTGGACTAGTCTCCCCAGCTGTCTGCCAGGCCTCCTGCTCCAGAGGGACAGAACCGGCCTGGTGGGTTTTGCATCTTTAGAAAACTGCTTCTCCCCATGCTCCATGCCCAGCTGCCAGAGCCCGTCAGCTTTTCCCTTCTGCACCCCCAATCAGCCCCCACTGGGATCTGACGTCCAGATTTGAACAGATCGTTTTGCCCCCACATGCCACCCTTGCTCTGCTCTCCAGCCTGGGCTGTTCTTCTGGGCCCCTGGCTGGCTCCTTGGTTTTGGGGGCACATCTAGGCTGAGCTGCTCCCAAGGTTGCCCTCGCAAATTGCCCTGGGCTTAGTTCCCCCGTGGGAGCGGGCGGGAGTTCTGTGTGAGGTCTGGGCTTCTCCCAGTCTGCAACCACACTGCAGTCACGGGCCAATTCCCCTCCTGCTGCCTGGGTGTAAATCAGGAGTGACGCCATTGCAGTCAGGGGGCCAGTTCCCCTCTCGCTGCCCCAGGGTAAATCAGGAGTGACCCCATTCTACTCAGTAGGGCTGCCCCCGCAGCTCCCTGGGGTGGCTCTGGATTTGCCCCCAGCTCGGGCAGTGACTCTGGCTGCTGGGCAAGGGCCGGGATCGCCTCGGGGGCGCAGGGGGCTCTGGGCCGGGGGCCCCCAGGGGTCTGGGAATTCCCGGGCACGGGGCTCAGGTACTCACCCCAGTTCCGGCAGGTCTGGGCTGCCTCTGTCCCGAGCTCTGGCCCAGCCTCCTCCAGGCCCCACCCTGGCCCTGGCATTAACCCTTCAGTGCCCAACCAGCCTGCGGGGGGGGAGTTGGGGGCGGGGACAGGATGTATGTGGCTCTGACCCTCTGCTGACCCCCAACATCCCGCCCTCCCCCCCCCACCGCACTCTCAGCACCTGGGATTTCTGTTGCTTTCTTCCCCCTCCCGACAATCTCCACCTCCTGGCCCCCAGGTGTGTGGTAGATCCAGCCTCCCATGGCCCCGCTCCCCTCCTCAGGACGGGAGGGGGCAGAAAAGGCGGGGGAGGGGCAGTGTGGGTATGGGGCAGGCCAGGGGCGGCTGCACTGGGGGTGGAATTGGGACATCTCTGTTTTGTAGGGAGCCCCTGTGGGAATTTTCTTAACTAAGGAAATAACAACAGGACTTGGCGGTGCCCCATCCCAGCTCAGACCCCCTCCCCTGGCTCCCAGCCCCCCAACTATGGCCCAGCACCTTCCCCTGGCTCCCAGCCCCCTCCTCCAGCTCTGAGTGCCTCAACCATGGCCCAGCCCCCTCCTCCCTCTCCCAGCTCACAATCCCCTCCACCGCTCCCCCTGCTCCCAGCCCCAAAATCACAGCCCAGGCCCCTCCTCCTCCCTACCCTGCTCTCAGCCCCCCACCCATCACAGCCCAGCCCCCTTCTCCCTACCCAGCTTCCAGCGCCTCCCCCACAGCTCACCCCCCACTATTATCTACCCAGCTTCCAGTTGCCCTCCTGCTTCCTATGTTAAAAACCAAAGGCAGGTGCAGCATAGAAGAGCTGGTGCAACAGTGTGTTCTCAGGGCCTCGGCAGGCTAGTGCCCTTGTGTAAATCCGGAGTAAATCCATTGGAGTCACTGGGGCCAATCCCCCTCTCGCTCACCCCGTCTCTTATCTCACCCTCCCTGCCCCCAATTCCACTCTTCTGCCCATGGTTGGGCCCATCCATCCCCCCATCCCCAGGGCTGAGAACCCCACATCTGATGGCTGTGCTGAGAACTCAAAGGGTTAAAGCAGGGCCAGACCCACCCCTGCTCCCGCTTGGCTGGGTGGAATCAGACCCCCTGGGTTCCCTGTGCTGGGAAAACAGCTCCTATGCTGAACGCTGGGCTGGGCATTGCCCCCAGAGCCCTGTGAATCCCCAGGCCAAGAGCCAAGCCCAGCTGGGACCCAGTCACAGGGCTGGGGGCTGCCTCCCCTGGCAATGCAGAGTGACGGTGCTGCCTGAAATCCCCTTAACTCTGCCCTAGATCCATAGGTGCTGGAACTAGCAGTGCGGGGGTGCTGTCGCCCTCTTACCCCCTTTCCCCTGCCCAATCTTGAAGTGGTTTCCCTTATATCCAGGGTTTACAGTTTGGTTCAGTGGCTCTCAGCACCCCTACCGTACAAACTGTTCCAGCTCCGCTGCCTGGATCCCAGCCCAGACTTGGCCCAATGTGTCCTGCGCTTTACAGGATGGACACATGGAGTTATAATGGCAGGGGCAGCATGGTGCAGCCCAGAGAGCCCAGGAGTGGGACCCAGGATTCCTCGGTTCAATCCCCAGGTCTGGGCAGGGAGTGGGGTTTAGTGCTTAGAGTGGGGGGCTGGGAGCTAGGACTCCTGGGTTCTAGCCCCACCTCTGGGAGAGGAGTGGGGTCTAGTGCTTAATGTGGGGGTACGCCTGGGAACCAGGACTCCTGGGTTCTATCCTGACCTCTGCTCAAGCCTCCTTGTGATTTTGTGCACAAAATCTGTCCCTCGGTGGCCCCCTCTCTGCAATGGGGCTGCTGCGTAGAGCCTGGAGAATCATAGAATCATAGAATATAAGGGTTGGAAGGGACCCCAGAAGGTCATCTAGTCCAACCCCCTGCTCGAAGCAGGACCAATTCCCAGTTAAATCATCCCAGCCAGGGCTTTGTCAAGCCTGACCTTAAAAACCTCTAAGGAAGGAGATTCTACCACCTCCCTAGGTAACGCATTCCAGTGTTTCACCACCCTCTTAGTGAAAAAGTTTTTCCTAATATCCAATCTAAACCTCCCCCACTGCAGCTTGAGACCATTACTCCTCGTTCTGTCATCTGATACCATTGAGAACAGTCTAGAGCCATCCTCTTTGGAACCCCCTTTCAGGTAGTTGAAAGCAGCTATCAAATCCCCCCTCATTCTTCTCTTCTGCAGGCTAAACAATCCCAGCTCCCTCAGCCTCTCCTCATAACTCATGTGTTCCAGACCCCTAATCATTTTTGTTGCCCTTCGCTGGACTCTCTCCAATTTATCCACATCCTTCTTGAAGTGTGGGGCCCAAAACTGGACACAGTACTCCAGATGAGGCCTCACCAATGTCGAATAGAGGGGAACGATCACGTCCCTCGATCTGCTCGCTATGCCCCTACTTATACAAGAGAGCGAGGATGACCCTGCCCCGCATGAGTAAGAGACCAAAGAATGATACAATTCCCTGACAACAAGCTGCATTGGCACCCAGAAGGCTGAGCGCAGCAGCCCCCCCTCTGGAGAGCAGGCGCTGAAGGGTTCAGATTTTGCCAACTGACTCTTCTGCCAAGCAGGACTGTGGGAGGTTTGGGAGGGTGCACGTGGCCACAGCACAAGCCACAGGGCAGGGAGCGGGGGTGGCCTCCAGCTGCTGGTGTGGTGTTGGGGGGCTGGATTGGCTGGGGGACGGATTGTCTCTGCACTGGCTGGGGGTGCGGGGGCTCCCCCTGAGTGCGTAATGATGGAAAGAGGTGCATGGGGGATGCTGGGTGCCTCATTTCACCTCAGCCTTGTGTCAGGAGCAGGGCCGGGGGGCTGGGCAGCAGTGAGCTGGGAGAGGAGCGTGGCCTGTGACTTGTGGGTTGGGCATCAGGGTTTGTTCCACAGTTTTAATGACCACGGAGGCTGGCAGCCCAGACACTGCCATGCCAAGGGCCTGAGCCGCACATGGAGCTTGTCCAGAGCACTTTTTGTCACTGGTAGGGAAACTGAGGCACGGGGCTGTCATAAATATAAAGGGAAGGGTAAACACCTTTAAATCCCTCCTGGCCAGAGGAAAAACCCTTTCACCTGTAAAGGGTTAAGAAGCTAGGATAACCTTGCTGGCACCTGACCAAAATGACCAATGAGGAGACAAGATACTTTCAAAAGCTGGAGGGGGGGGGTGAAACATAGGGTCTCTCTGTCTGTGTGATGCTTTTGCTGGGAACAGAACAGGAATGGAGTCTTAGAATTTAGTAAGTAATCTAGCTAGATATGCATTAGAGTCTGATTTGTTTAAATGGTTGATAAAATAAGTTGTGCTGAATGGAATGTATATTCCTGTTTTTGTATCTTTTTGTAACTTAAGGTTTTGCCTAGAGGGATTCTCTCTGTTTTGGATCTGATTACCCTGTAAGGTATTTACCATCCTGATTTTCCAGAGGTGATTCTTTTTACTTTTTCTTTCAATTAAAATTCTTCTTTTAAGAACCTGATTCCTTTTTCATTGTTCTTAAGATCTAAGGGTTTGGGTCTGTGTTCACCTATGCAAATTGGTGAGGATTTTTATCAAGCCTTCCCCACGAAAGGGGGTGTATGGCTTGGGGGGATTCTGGGGAGAAAGACGTTTCCAAGCGGGCTCTTTCCCTGTTATATATTTATTAGACGCTTTGTGGTGGCAGCAATAAAGTCCAAGGGCAAAAAGTAAAATAGTTTGTACCTTGGGGAAGTTTTAACCTAAGTTGGTAAAAATAAGCTTAGGGGTTTTTCATGCAGATCCCCACATCTGTACCCTAGAGTTCAGAGTGGGGAAGGAACCTTGACATGGTGGCAGAGCAGTGGGATCATTCTGAGATCAATTTGAGATTTTTTGGGGGATCACTTTGAACCAGAAGCAAATATTTGAAAAGGACATTTTTTTTTCCTTTGGGCTGCTGAAAAGCAGGTTTTTGGCTGAAAGCAGTTAGAGGTTTTTTGTCTCTGCCTGGGGGCCAGAGCAGAGACAAAAGGGAATTGTCTTTTTTGAGCTGGAGTTTTCTCTACCTAAAGGCAGGGTAGTTAACAAGGTTTTCACAGACCTGAAGAGGTTCATTTTTTTTTAGCTAAGAGCAACTAGAGGGTTTTTCTGTCTATTTGCCCAGAGACAAAAGATTTTTCTGTAGGCTGAGAATAACTATTAGAGAACATAGGTATCATATTACAGCACAGCAAAATTTTACAAGCCAAGTGTTTTGTTTTTTTTCAACTCTCAGGTGTAAAGTTAGTTAAAAACAGAGAGGCTAAAATGACAGAATCCAAGGGGGAAAAAGACAAAGAGGCTGCCCACAGGAGAGCTATGGAGGTAAAGGAAAAAGAATGGATGCCTAAGGACCACATGAACAAGTATGAACTGTTTAAAACCAAGGCGAGAGTCAGAATGGGGCTAACACCCGAGCATTCCCGTCATGGGTTCAGAGCCCTAAGGTGGAAACCAGACGTCATTTACCCGACATGCCTACCACATTGTGAAACACTGGGATGCCTGGATATCAGGAGCAAGTATTAAATCTCCAGAAGATTTGCCCTTCCTAATGCAAATGGAACAGTTCTTAGAGGTTTCAGAGTAACAGCCGTGTTAGTCCGTATTCGCAAAAAGAAAAGGAGTACTTGTGGCACCTTAGAGACAAACCAATTTATTTGAGCATGAGCTTTCGTGAGCGAGGAAATAGAAAGATACATCCTAGATGGGAAGCCCAAATCTGTAATTGAGGCGGGGGAGATTGGAGCCAAATGGGTGGAGGTGGCAGAGAAGAAAAAAACTGGTCGCAGTTGTAGTGGACACCAGAAGGGACAACCTCAGACCACACCCTACTACCGGGGGCAGCCCAAGGCCCCACCTAACCCCCAAAGAACCCTCCAGACACTTTATCGTCCCGCCACACCATTCTCCAGCAACCCACCTCACCCCAGTGACCCGTCAGCTGGACGATGTTTTAAATGTAACGAGCCGGGGCATGTAAAGGCCAACTGCCCCAAGAACCCCAACAGATTACAGTTCATTGCACCGGAATCACACCAGAGGTCCTCAGACCCAGATGCCTCCCAG